CCCAAAAAAAAAAAAGTTGACACCAAAATAAAAAAGGTCACACACTAATATTTCCTTGGACCGCCTGTAGTGTTGATTATGGCATGCATTCACTGTGGCATTGTTTTGATAAGCTTCTGCAATGTCACATATCTATTTCCATCCAGTGTTGCATTAATTTGTCACTAGGATCTTGCACTGGCGATCACAGATTCTGACCACTGCGCAAAGCCTTCTCCAACACATCCCAAAGATTCTCAATGGGGTTAAGGTCTGGACTCTGTGGTGGCCAATCCATGTGTGAAAATAATGTCCCAGAACCACACTTTCACAATTCGAGCCCAATGAATCCTGGCATTGTCATCTTGGAATATGCCCGTGCCATCCATGCATCCATCCAACCAGCCATTCATCCGTTATCTTTTACCCACTTCTTCCATTTTGGGTCACATGAGTCGCTGGTGCCCATGTCCAGCAATCACTGTGCAAGGGGTGGGGTACACCCTGGACAGGTATCAAGTCTATCATAGGGCCGTGCCATCAGGGAATAAAAAATCAGTCGATGGAATAACCTGGTCATTCAGTATATTCAGGTAGTCAGCTGACCTCATTCTTTAAGCTTATACTGTTGCTGAAGCTAGACCTGACCAACTGCAGCAACCCCAGATCATAGCTCTGCCCCCACAGGCTTGTACAGTAGGCACTAGTCATGATGGGTGCATCACTTCACCTGCCTCTCTTCTTACCCTGATGCGCCCATCACTCTGGAACAGGGTAAATCTGGACTCATCAGACCTCATGACCTTCTTCCATTGCTCCAGAGTCCAATCTTTATGCTCCCTAGCAAATTGAAGCCTTGTTTTTTGTTAACCTCACTGATTAGTGGTTTTCTTAAGGCTACACAGCTGTTCAGTCCCAATCCCATGAGTTCCCTTCACATTGTGCGTGTGGAAATGCTCTCTTTCACTATTAAACATAGCCCCGAGTGCTACTGTTGTTTTTCTTTGATTTGATTTCACCAAACGTTTAAGTGATCACTGATCACGATTATTCAGGATGTTTTTTCCAACCACATTTCTTCTTCGAAGACGATGAGTCCCCACTATCCTGACAGTTCTTAACCCAGTTTTAGTAGTTTCTGCAATCTCCTTGGATGTTTTCTCTGCTTGATGCCAATGATTTGACCCTTCTCAAACAGACTGACATCTTTTCCACGACCATGCGATGTGTCTTTCTACACGGTTGTTTAAGAAATGAGAAACAACTCATTGCACCAGTTGGGGTTAAATAACTTTTTGCCAGCTGAAAGATAATCACCCATGCAGTTATTTATCCAATAGGAGGCTCGTACCTATTTGCTTAGTTAAATCCAGGTGGCGACTTTTTTTTGGCCAGGCAGTGTATGTAATAGACCACGAGGAACACAGCTGTAGGCCTTGGGACTTGGATGAATTCCCGCTCTTTTTTTAAGAACCTAACAAGAACGATGAGCCTGTCCGGTGTTCCACAGTTAGGTGAAGTCTCTGGTTTGGTTCCTAGAGCTAAGATTTAAACATCTGCAGGATCATTCTCTTTACTTCTTTGGGGAAGATTTTCCCATGAAGGCTGGGTGTGTTCCAGAAATTTACTTTGACAAACTATTTAGTTTCTTATGTCTTATTACTGTGACAAAAAAAAAAATGTTTATCTTTTTATTCCTGATATTAAATTTTCCCATTTTAAGAGCAGATCAGGTATTCCTGATGAGGTTTCTTCTTCTTGGTGCAGGTCTCTGGCAGGAGTGATCGAGCAGATGGAGCAGTTCTCCTCTCGTCTCGGAGAGCTCGCATCTCGGGTGGAGAGCACACACGAGCACACCGCCCACGACCTGGAGCAAGGGGCGCGGCACAGAGACGAGCAGCTTCGAAGTACCTCAGACTTTCACATATTTCCTGTACAATTAGGTCCAAGTGAGCCTGTTGTAGCCTCAAAGTGCAACTGGGTTAAAGCCCTTCTCCAAATGTGTTTTTTTTTTCTCCCAGCGTTGCAGGACCGACTGACCCAGCAGCAGAAAGCCATGGCAGAGGAGAGAACTTACCTCAAGGAAATAATCTCCAAGATGGACACTCAGCTCAGTGAGCAGCAACGGCAGCTTGAGAAGGTCTGAATCTAAAATCGGCTTTCACACATCGCAAAGGAATGTTTTTTTTTTCCAGGGCTGAATTTGTAAATCAAATGATGTCGGTGATGTGGGTCCTCCTCCAGAAAATTTTGAATAAAGTAGATGCCATTTCCTGCATTTTAGTGTATTTTAACTGTTGTTAAACATCTACATTTACCTACATTTGTAAACACTTGATTCAATAACTGTTTTAGAGAACGACAAGAAATAGCCTGACCAACAGCTCTCCTTGTATGAATAGAGCACGCTCCGCTTCTCTCACGCATCCCAACACCTGCTCCAGTAGTATCTCCATTGTCACTGCCTTCATGTGCTTCAGATCTCGTCTGTTTAGTTGCACAATGAGAAACTTTTTTAAGTAAATTGGACTGTCTTTTTGACATTTTGATCGCTGTTATTTTGCCAAATTGGTGCCTTTGTTTTGACATTTGATGTACGTAAAGTGATTACCCATTAAACATTTCTCTCGTATTTTTAATAAATAATCAAAATATTATTAATGACCCACTTAAACTTTAAAACTGATTTGTAATTTAGTTATGCTGTTTAATTATATTTTTATGTTTTTAATCAAACTGCCCATGACTTTGGACTTTTAGGGGCAGAGACTTTTTTAAGGGTAGAAGCGGAAATGCTTACTTGAAGGGGCAGCTCTGATGTGGTATTTGAAAGCTCGTAAGTGGCTGTTGTGTTTAAAATGAGTGTTTATGTAATTAATAAATTCACATGAACAAGAAAAGTTATTAGAAAATAAGGTTGCAAAACTACAAATATATTAGAAGCCTAACACTCCTTGAAGGAAGGCATATTTTAGTTTAGTAGTTCAAGTTTTAGAAGATCTTCAGTTAGGAAACATTTAACCTGCCACGCTGTCGTGTGCTTCAGGAACGCTGGAAGGTGACGTCAGAGCAGGCCAAAGCAGAGTCGACCCAGAGGAGCTTGGAGGAAGAGCGACACGTCCTCACCACACAGATCAGCATGGAAAAAGAGGAGCTGGAGCGAGCCAAGGTGAGGCTAAAGAACGCCTGGGTCAGAGCAGAACTCAGTTCCACGTGATTCCACCTCCTGTGTCGTCTCCTGCTCAGAGCGCGCTGCTGGAAGAGCAGAAGTCCGTGATGCAGCGTTGTGCAGAGGAGAGGAAGAGGCTGGCAGCTGAGTGGGCCCACTTCCACACTCAGGAGAAACAGAGGCAAGAGAGAGCTGAACGGGAGGTCAGCAGCCTCATCGACAGGAGAGAGGGCTCCATCATCAGTCTGGCACAGGTCAGCCTTAAATAGACGTTGTCAAAAGACTGAATATAGGACACAAATGTGATATTTCCTGATTTTGTTTGTAGGAACAAGCTGACCTGAAGCTTCGTACGGCAGAGCTGAAACAAAAGGAGGCGACTGTGACGCAGGAGAAAGAAACTCTGTACAGACTGAGAGAAGAGCTGGACAGAGAGAAGGAGAGAATAAGCAGCACCGCTCTGAGTCTGAAAACACGGGCCCAGGAGGTCGAGGCCTTCAGCAAGGTGATTTCACGCTCCAGTGATCCCCGCGTGTCGTTCAGCGCAGTCGAATGACTCTTGCTCCTCGCAGGTCGCTGCAGAGAGGTACGAGGCAGGAGAACAGGCTCTGCAGGAGGCAAAACGTGTGGAGGCCGAGCACAAAGCCCGGCTGAGTAACATTCACTCTCAAACGGAGCACCTGAGGCAGCTGGAACAGCGCACGCTAAAGGTGACAACAGTTTTTTTTTATTATAAAGCACAGTAAACGATGGCTGATAGTGTCTGAACATCTGCTGTTCCAGGAACGGATGAGGTTAAATCATCTGCAGAACGACACAGAAATAAGACAAACCTCTATCTCACCTGTACCTAAAATTATTCCAGCTGTTTTACCAGGTGAGGGTAATTATCCAGCTTAATGTCACTTCATAAGTAGAAGAAAAACATGATTTTTATTTTCCTTTAGATTCGGCTTCAGTATTACCCAGCCTTGAGCCGACAACATCCCAGAACATCCTCCCCTCTGGTGCTATGACAAACTATAAATCACTGACTCTGGAGGCAAGTCTGGCCTTGTGGAAGTACTCTGCAGAAAAGGTAACAAGTTAAACTCTTTGCAAAAAGCTACACTCCCTGGCAAGGAAACGAAATATTAGCGTCACCACTCTGTCAGCGCTGATTAAGAGTTGTTCAAGATTCTTTTATGCAACGTGTTGTTACACAAGAACAGTGAAATGTCTCCTGAACCACACCTATAGGAGGTGCAAAGAACAAAAAGATTAACAAAATTTGAACAGTGATGATGGTACGATTAAAATAAAACTTGTTGGAGCGACAAGTGGCCTCAGTCACAATGAAGTTTCTAAATTTGATTTAAATGAACTGGTTTTCTTTAGTAAATGAAACACTTTGGAATGTACTGAAGTTGGTTTATTTGGGATTTAAGGTAACGAATATGAGAATGATGAGCAGCATGTGACTGTTGCATATTTTACTAAAGTGTTAAATTTCATTAATTCAAACTTTTACAAAAAAGGATTTTCTGATCATTACAGCATGAGAAGACTGGATCAGTGTCACAGCTTGAAGTTTACAAAATAAAAAAGCTTAATCTGTTAATGTGCAAACAACGTTTTAACTCATGTCTTCATCACTGTCCAAGTCATCCCAGGACTCTAGACACAAACATCAAAATGTTGAGTTTCATCTCATGTTATGAAATGAACGAGATCTTTGTGTGACCTCGTTTCATTTTACAAAAAATGCAAATGATCAAAAACAGCCTGTTGGGTATTTGAAGCAGCTGCATTTTGTGCTGTTAAAAGATCAAACCTCATGTGACTTCTCCCTCATAATGCAGCCATATATATATATATATATATATATATATATATATATATATATATTTTTTTTTTTAACAGTACATGTAGTTTGTCAGAATTTACAGTTGCATATTCAGATTGCAACACAAGCAGAACCAGTTCTTAAAAAAGTGGAGAAACTTAGGTTTTTATATGAATGTGTAAAGTACTGAAATCTATATCAGTTAGATCAGTACATCCAGTATAAAATCAATTTTATGGTTATTTGCTTCAACAAATAAGTTCTCAGCTATGAGACATCAATATGCCTCAAGTATTCAGAAGCGTTTGAAAGACACTGGATTTTTGCTTATTCTACAAAGATCACAATGCAAGATGGAAGATCAAAATGTTTTCTAGTTTTGAGTGTCGACCACATTAACTTGAGTTTCTTTCTGCAGGACCGGGAATTTCTCCAAGAGGAGCAGATTTTTCTAGAGAACCTGAAGAAAAAATCCTACAGATTGAATACAGACTGAGAATTAAAAAAAAACCCTGCTTTTATTTATTTAATCTTTTACATGCCAAATACTTGACAATAATATACATTTTTAATACATTTCCATATGTTGGGTTTAGTTTCACAACTGAATTCATCTGTATTACACCTCCTGCTGGTTCTGGGTCAGCTTCTTTATTAACTCCACCTGTAAAGTAGTAAGAGGACATCAGCTTCAAATACAACAATCAAGGTAAAGATGTTCAAGACCTCTAGTCAAGCTTCAGGTTACCGTGTCTCCACACAGAGTTCAGACAGGGATAACTTTTATCATCATTAGCTTGACTTCAAAGCAGATTTTACATTTACCAGTTCATGTTCTCTTCAGGACTCGCGTCATCTAAGGCTTGCTTTTCTCCCATCACACCTGTATCAAATAAGAGATACGACTCATCAGTACAGTATTACTAATGGCTGAGATAATGCAATATAATAAAGTCTGTACAAATTTCTCAGAACAGCTCTTTGAATCGTCAGTTCTCGCATCAGACGGCACTTCCTATGCAGCAGTTTTCATCACTGAAGTGGCAACGTGGATCTCAAGAAATGCACAGGACAAACCTTTTCCATCTGCTTCATCCTGATGGTTGTTTGGGATCACGTCCACGAACCTACAAAACGTTACACATTAGTGCCAATCAGAGCATCAAAGTGATGTATACACCTGAGCTGCAGTGGTTCAGGTTCACAGATTTCCACAAGATAATTTCAGACAGGGATAACAAACTCATCACACATACTGCATCAGTTAATCAAAATGTATTCAACCACTTCCCTAAACCTTTACCTTTGAAGGAGTCCTCGAAGGACATTGGAGATAATGAGGATTGTCCACAGCTCTTAAAACTCCAAATACCTGAAAGTCAAATCATAATTTTAAACAGTAATATTTAACTTATACGTCAACATATACAATAAGTTAAATGCACGTTGTTTGGTTTCATTACACGATCCTCTTATAAAAAGGAAACCAGGCCACCGCATGGTCTCGTTGCACGTGGTTTGCCCTGTTAGCTAGCAAGCTAGCAGTCTAAGACGACTTTATGCATTAATAAACAAAAAGTCTTCCAAGTATTACATGTATATTACCGTTTCAGTGCGGGTCATCTTGAGCTTTATAAATACAGAGAATTAAAGTTTGGTGTATAAAAATGGAGAACCGCTTATCCATACTACTCTCTTCAGGACAAGGAGACGAGAAATCCTCCAAATCTCGCGTTGAAACGTTTTATAGGACGTTGACGTCATACATCACGTGATTTGGACCTGGGCGTGTTTGTAAAAATTTAAAAAAATATATATATACTTCTGGTTAACTGCCTTACATAAACGTTAACATTATTTTAAACGAGTGTTTTAACTTTACGTAAGTAAAATCAAACATTTCAATTTAGGTTACGTTCAAAGTGCTAGAAAAGTTGGGGATTTTCAGTTTTTTGTGAGAATTTATATTTAGTTCTCTTTTAATCCTTGTGTTTTCCTGCACTCCCCAGTGTTTCTCTTTCTTGTTGCCAGCTCCTGTCTCACCTGTCCTCAGTCCTAATCACTCCAGGTGTTCGTCATTTTGTCTTGTCAACCTCCCAGCGTCTGTTTTTTCTTTGTTCGTGGATTGTGCTTACAAGCCAAATGTTCAAACTGTGTCCAGATATTCGGTTCCTCTTTCATTCCATCCCTCAAAGTAAGTTTTTGCTGCCCTGTCAGCTTTTATTTTGTTTAAATAAATATAAATTGTTTATTTTTACCTCAGAGTCTCCTACTGTTTGCCTGCACGTGAGTTTCAACACTTAAATCATGTCAGTTTTAAACAATAAAACTTCCTTTTTGTCATACAATATTTTAAAATTACATTTTGAATGGAAAGTTTAGACTGGTAATTTTGTTTTAATGTAAGTGTCAGACCGAAACCTAAGACGGTGGTTCCCAACCATGGTCCTTGAGGAACACCATGCTGCATGTTTTAGTCATGCTTTGACACACCTGGTTTGAATAAATGGGTGATTACCAGGCTCCTGCAGGACTTGAAGTCATTAAATCACTGGATCAGGTGTGTTGGAGCAGGGACACAACTGAAACATGCAGGGTAGTGTTCCTCCAGGACCAGGGTTGGGAACTACTGATGGCCATGGACAGTGAACCTCATGTTTGCTTCTGTGAACTTTATAAAAATGTTTTTTTTTTTTTTTTTTATAAAATTGTAGTTTGATATAAAAAGGTGAGCCTTGTAGACTTGCTAAACCTGGGGTTTAAAGTTTAATAGACTCGACGTTTTGTTTGGACAGTGAAGTTTATCGAGCAGAACTGACCCTGAAGTATCCAACAATGGTCAGCAGGTCATGGACTGTTTCTTTTTTTTTTTTTGCTGAGACTTTTCGTCCTTCATCCAAAGGTCTTCATCAATCCGAGGAGCCACAAACAAACCCAGTCCCACAAGCAGCACACTTTCATGGGGGGGCGGGGGTGTTCAGTTTGCTGGTGATAAAATGGATTCTGTGGCCCGCCCTCTCCCCTGTCAACTCTAAGGCAGCCATAGCAGAAGTGATTCAAAACATCAAAGTCCATGCTCATTAATCCAGATGTTTTGAACCACTTTGGCTCAGAGGAGTTGACGGGGGAGAGGGCGGGCCCCAGAAACAATCTTATCACCAGCAAACTGTCTGTTTTTCTACTTTGGGAGTGTGCTGCGCTTTGTGATTCCGCGGACTGATGAAGTCCTTCGGATGAAGGACGAACCCATCCAGATGACTTGCTGAACATTGTCGGATTTTTTTTATTTTTTTACCTGGATTATTGCGCATGAACTTTGATGACCCTGAAGTGCTCTCCTCCTCCTCCATCACTGCCGTTCCTCCTTCCAGACACTAGGGAGAGACTCTAACCAAGCCAGCTGCTCCTGTCGGGCTCTGATGTCCCACAGCAGCCTGGGAGGGTTCAGACTCGGCTGCACCTCCACCGGCCTCCGGGACTCGTGTCTCCGTCCGGGATGGAGAAAGACGCCTCGGATCCGGACCCATCCCGGCAGCGGAACGGCTTCGTGGGGGTGCTGTACGGGGAGTTCTCCGACACCCTGAACGACAGCGTCCGGTACTCGGTGCGCTTGACCGAGAGCGCGCTGACCATCCGGAGGATGTCGTCGTCCCCCGGCGGGAGTCAGGTGGTGTTCAACCTGGCGGACTGCGTGGGCTGCCGTGCGTACCGTGGGCCGGACAGCGCGGACCACGGAGCCTACTTCACGGCGTACTTCTACCCGTTCAAGAGGCGCTGGATGAGCGCGGGGCTCGCCCGGCAGAGGGTGGAGCAGTGCTTTCGGGTGGCGCTGGTCCAGGAGCCGCTGGTCAACCTCCGCGAGGCGGAGAGGTGGGCGCGCGCCATCAGAGATGCGTCTGCGCTGCAGGCTCCGCGGAGAGACGGTGAGCGCGCGCTGTGCGTTTCAGCTTCACTCACAAACAGCCAGAAAGTTTCTGATGCAAAGAGAGGAATTAAAACTTACGGCACTCTTAATAAGACAGGCAGGGTAAGCCTCTAACTGTGACCGTGCAGACAAGTTGTAGCTATAAGATAAGTTCTGAAAGTAAATAAAAACATCTTATTATCATACTGCTTATGTTTACAGTAAGGGTCGTCAAATGGGTGTGGAAAAAAGAAGCTTGGGTGCATTAACATGACAAACTTCACTTCAAACTTCACTGGAATAAAGGGTTATAAACAAAAATTATGATTATTAAAGTCAAATCCAGAAAATGTATAAAAACTTAATTCGTTTTAGCTTCTCTCCTTTGGCTCCTTGTCAACTTCAGAGTAGAATTCAAAATCTTACTTCTAACCTAGAAAGCTCTCAACAACCTAGCTCCATCTTATATTAAAGCTCGTATTGTTTCATACAGAGCACTTCACTTTCAGACTGCAGGCTTACTTGCGGTTCCTATAGTTTCCAAAAGCAAAATGGGAGGAAGATCTTTCAGTTATCATGCGCCTCTCTTGTGGACCCAACTTCAAGACTGACACATTGTCCTGTGTTAAAACTGGGCTTAAGACTTTTTTCTTTTTGATAAATCCTATAGTTAAGGTTGGCTTGTTATGCTGCCGTAGGCTTCGACTACTGGAGGACAAATTGACCTAATTTCCTTATTGCTAAAATTGAATAGTTTTCATTTGATACTATTTCTAACATGATTCTTGACCTGCCATTGTGTATCTGTTCCTCCTTCCTGTTCCTCTCAAACCCAGTTGAAGCAGATGGACGCTTGTCCTGAGTCTGGTTCTGCTAATGGTTTCTTCCTCATGAGGGAGTTTTTTCTTTCCACTGTCGCCTTCATGCTTGCTCAAGATGAGAGTTCAGTGATGGAGTTAAACTCAAAGCAGTCTGCTCCTCAGATAAATAATGTTAATTTATTATTTTTATACGATTGTTTCTGTTCAGTGCCCTGAGATGACTTGGTGCTATAAAATAAACTGAAGTTAATTCAAAGGATTGACTGTGGTCCAACTCTGGACTCAAAGTCTGAACTTGATTGTTAAATTTTAGTTGAAATTTAATTTGTTTTTCAATATATGTTCAATGTTTGTGTATGTTTTCTTATATTAATAGTAATTTATTTTTGTCCGTGCAGCTTTCCCCAAATTCAGACAACACAACTTTCCTAGCATTTACAGTAATTTGTTGCAGGTGGCACCACTTATAACATTTCCAGTGTTTCCCACATGATATTCAGTTTCCTTCTGCAAGGAGCTGCCAGCCCACAAAGAGGTACAGACCTGAAAAAAAATCTATATGGTGATTTAAAAAAATAAAAATAAACTAGCATCTTCCATCTACAGTGTTTAAGGGAGAAGTCATGACTAATTAAAACTACCGTTTCCTGTTTTAAGATGTGCAGCTCAGACACTAAGGAAGTCATTGAGAGTTTAGACACTCTGAACTCTAAGGGTGTTTGAGAGAAAACTGAGAAACAGCCTGAGTGAGTTTTGTTAAATCATATAAGAATGGTGATTGAGTTTTTTTTTAAGTTAGCAAAAATGAGTGGTTACAGGGGGGCCAAATTGATTACAGAAGAAAAGTTTACTTTTAGGCTCATTAGTAGTCTATGCATGAATAAACATCAGTTATGTTCATAAAACAGCATTTAACACAGACCAAGTTCTGAATTTCATCGTTAACGTCATTTTAAAACTTAAAATTTGTTTGTTTTCTGCACTGCATTGATTCATTACAACTAATCAAGGGGCGTAGTTCACTGTACAGAACAATAACACTAAGACTGAGCATTTGACCTGCATATATTCAGTGCATTGGTTATAGGTATAGACATGCAGTAAAACCTGATTAAAAATAATGCAGATCCTTCTAACACTTTGCTTTGCGACCTCAGGGCAAATGTATAACACCAAATGAACTAGCGCTGAAACGTGAGCTCCCACCTCATTGATCAGATCGCTAACTAAATTAGGTTTTAGTTAGCAGAGGATGGCAGCTCACTGACCGACGTCAAGAATTTGAAAAGGAATAAAACGCTGAACTTAAAGGAAAATAAATATAATTTTCTTTATTAAAAACAGGCACGATTGCATTTAGTTCTCTGAAAAGAACCATTTTTCTCGCCACCTACCGCTCACGAGATGGGAGAAGATCTTCCATCAGCCTGGTGGATCACGGGGAGGTCTTGAAACCATGTCTCTGCTGGGGGAAATTTCCTGATCCAGTTAGTGGATTCAGCGAGTGGAGTCTGAATTTCTGTGGAGATGTCAGCCACTTCCAGCTTTGTACAAAATGCACAAAAAATATATTAAGCAGCCTCCAAATAGAATAGCAAGATTTCTTTATTTTTCCCCATGGCAGCTGCCGCTTAGTGCCACCAGAATGTATTGTAAGTTGCTTTCAGCTGTTCCTTTCTTCAGGGTCGTCACAGCGAGCGAGCTCGCATGAAAGATTTGGCAATTGTTTTACACCAGATGCCCTTCCTGATGCAACCTGGGCTCGAACCCGCAACCTCAGGATTACAAGACCGTGGCTAGGCCTGTCGCGATAAACAATAAATCAATTAATCGCATGATAAATGAAAATTATCAACCTTATTTTCATTTATCGGCTTTCTTTTCTTCGTGTCTCTCTCTTTCTACTGAAGACACTGGATGACAAAAGATTCAACTCCGGTGCTCTTCACTGAGCCCTCCCTTTCTCTTTTCTCTTTAAAATACATTTTAACCGTCTAAAATCGTGTTTTTGGATCGTTAAATGCAGCTAAGCTGAGAAGCTAAGCTACGAGCTAATGTAACAGGCCGACCTCGGGGGGGAAAAAAAACCTTTGTTTGACAATAATTACTCATTCTTGTCAAATTTCAAACAATATTATCGTTTATCGCAATAATTTCTGAGACAATTAATCGCCCAGCTAAATTTGTTATCGTGACAGGTCTACCCACTGCCAAGCTAAATTAAATCATTACAATTATGGAATAAGGAAAAGGTTTGAACAAACAAAGGTCGGGGGAGTTTGGACCGCTCGACTGCGTGACATCGTTATAATCTAATCTAAAACTTCAACAGCAGTTGAGTAAAAATCATTAAAGATACCAAAACGCCTGTTTAGGCGTGTAAAGTCCAACTTTTTGTGATCAGTTTAAAGTTTAAATATTACAGCTATGGAGCTACAAAAATATAAAAAGGATGGGTTTTTCACTCGTTTTGCCAAAATCCCATTGTTTTCTACAGGACAAGTTTATTTATTTCCACAGTAAACTTGTTTTTTTTAAATAGTTTTGTTAGTTTTTAGTAAAGTAGGAAACAAAAAATATGATGGAAACAAATAAATATATACTAAATAGTAACAGTGCTGCAATACTTATCCATTTACCTCCTTAATGTGTTTTTTTTAATGGTCACACAATGACCTGTGCATAGTTCATTGTTTATCAGTGTCCAACCTGAATGGGGTAAAATGACTCTCAGAAATGTGATCAGCTATCTCTGTTATACACAAACTTATCGTTTCAAACAGGTTAGACTGGAAAATAAGGTCCTCCCAGTAAACCTGCTCGACCTGCTGCGAGAGGCAAACGTTGAGTCAGCCGTTATAACTGCTTCTTCCTGAAGCTGCTGTCCAAGTAGATGTTGGAGCAGCTCAGGCTTTTATAATTCAGCTCAGTGAGAATTATTTGGTGGTGGTGGTGGTGGTGGGGGTGGGGGGGGTCAGAAAATCAAAACGCCTGTTTTTCATTCACAGCAGCCTCATCTAATGAGGTCTCTCTGTTTAAAATGCACGCTGTCCTTTAAGCGCTGCTGCTTCTTCCGTCTTAGTTTCTTTTAGCTCCGTCCTGGAAGTGTTTATGCAGCTCATTAACTCCTCTTTTTATTTATGGATCATGGAAATACTGAACCCTCTGTGCCAGGGCAGGTAATATCCCTATTTTTATTTTTTTTATAATCTAGAGCGGGCAAGAGAAGAGGTGAGTTTTTCACTTGGCAGCGACTAATTTGGAATGCCAAAGATGAGGGCAAGTGTGAAAACAGCAGGGGAGAGGAACGTGGTCGCCCCTCCCCGAAGCAGAGCTTCAGGTGTGCACTGCAAACATGCAAAAGGTCTGGACACACTGTGGTGATGCGGAGGACAGCTAACCGCCTCCTGCTCTGCAGCCAGCAGGAGTTTGAGGATCAGACCTGTGTCAGGCAGGCAGACAGATGGTAACCTGAGGGGTAACAGGCCACCCCCAATGTTTCTGTGGTCCTGTTGGAAAGAGCTCCAGCTTCCAGACTTCCTATTCCATATCAGAAAAAAATCCTCAGATAAGTGATTTACTTTTGGAGCCAACCTAAGTCAGGATGATCGTCAACTGACCTTAAAAAAACAAAAATGACCTGAACGCTGTCAATTTTAGATGCTGACCTAAGATATAGTATAGTACTAGCTGAGTACTAACCCAGTATATGAAATGTTTTTTTAAAAAAAGAAAAAAAATGCATAAGATTTTTATTTTTTTCAAAATTTTGCCATTTACTGTTAGTGCTGTATGTCTGTTAACAAAATATCTCACGAATCACTGGATGTATTTTAATGAACTTTTCGAGAAATGATCACTGAATGTACCTCTGCATTCATTCAACCTTTATTTAGACAGGTTAATCCCACTGAGCCTCGAGGACTCATTTACAAGAGAGACCTGATCTACATCTGATTAACTTTTGGAGACAACCAGGTTCAAGATGGCCACCACAGACAATTCAGCTTTTAAAGCAAAACATGGTTATAATTCAGTCAGTTTTAAAACTAAATTAAATTCAGTTTGTTTTATATAGCGCCAAATCATAACAGAAGTCGTCTCAGGGCACTAAACAGAAACTGTGATACAAATAAAGTCAGTTAAAACGTTATTTATCTAAGGAGCCAACAGATTGCTTCAAATCTCTCATCCTAAG